CTTAGGCTGAGCTAGATGAAAGCATTCCTGAAACGACTTCTGGTGGTGGTGGTTGTTATTTTAGTTCCCGTAGTTTAGCGAGAACAGCGGAAAACCTATAAGGTGCCAGAATACTGTCTGAGAACTTGCAATAAGAAATTTATTAAAATCAATGTTTCACTTGCTGAAAAAAATTAAGAAACATCTTGAAAGCTGGTAAGTGTGTTGTTTTCATTCTTCAAAGAAATGTCTCCCTGCCTTTGAATTTGGAAATATTTATTAAAGCAATTAGCTGGAAGTTGTAGGTCTAAAAGTTTATTCGGATGGACCTTGACTTGCAGGAGAAATGGGCTGACAGGAACTTCCTAAAGGTCAACAAAAGCAAATGCAGCATCCTGCTTTTGGGATGGAATGACCCAGTACAACAGTGCAGGAGGGGACGGGGTGGTTTCTTTCTAAGCAGCTTTGCAGAAAAGAGCCTGGGTAGGGGCAGATGGTTCTCACAGACAAGGAGTTGAACCCAATTCAGCAGTGTGCCCTTGTGATAAGGAACGCTGGCAGCACTCTGGGCTGTTTCAGCAGGTACGTAGCCAGCAGGGTGAGGGAAGTGATTGTTACCCCCTATTCAGCACTTGTGAGCCTGCCTGGGGAGTGCTGTGTCTAGCTTTGGGCTCCCTGGTGCAAGACAGACATGGACATAGTGGAGTAAGTCGAGCAGAGGGTCGGTCAGTCACCAAGATGGTCACGGGGCTGGAGCACAAGCTGTAGGAGGGGAGGCAGAGAGCGCTGGGCGTGCTCAGCCTTAAGAAGAGACAGAAAAAGGGGGAGCGTACTGCAGTCTGCAGCTACCAAATGGGAGAGCAGGGGAAGGTGGGGCACCGTGCTCTGCTTGGAGGTGCCCAGTGAGAGGACAGGAGGCAGCAGGCACAAGCTGCCACCAGGGGAAACTGTAATTACTTGTCAGGGGAAGAAAAGCTTCACCGTGAGGGTGGTGACGCAGAAATGGGGCCTGGAGCAGTTGTGGAATCCCCATTGTTGGAGATGTTCAGCACTCAACCTGGCAGGGTCCAGAGCAACCGGCTCCACACTGGCCCTGTTCCGAGTAAGTGCTTAAAGCAGATGATCTCCAGAGGTCCTGGGGATAAAAGGATGGCAATATTGTATAACTTGCCATGCCTTTTCACCTGACCTTGTTCACTGGACTGCATTTAGTCGTAAACTTGCCGCTGCACTTTGATTTCTGATCTAAGTTTTAGACAGCTGGGCTAAAAGGAAAAAATAAAAATTCATTCACACCAACTATTTTCTTGAAGGACTGTCATTCTTTGGGGGAATGTGATGGAGTATACCGATTTGTACTTTATTTTAAAAGAAGCTTTGGTATTTTGTTTCCATTTTAAAGACTGTTACTCTTAGAATGAAGTTAACATTTTTCAAGACCAGTGTCAGGTGTAACAAAAATAATTTCCTGCAGGGAGTTAGCATTAGGAGAACAAAGCATGTCCTCGGAATACAAACTTTGAACTGCTAATCAAGTATGACAGGGTTAGGGGAAAGCAGTGAATCTTTCACACAGTAATGTTCTCACTGTTTCAGACCTATGCGTGTTGCTGGTTGAAATAAACTTTCAAAAGGAGTAGGAATATTTTTTTTTTCTAAGTTACCTGCAGTCAGACTTATACTAAATGAACATCTGACCCTCACCCCCGCCCCCTTCAATAAGTACAATGTAGATAAGTGTTATCAGAATTTGTCATTGTTTGTATTTTAAGTGTTTTGGGTATAGAGTCAGGATTGCACGTGCCTATAGCGATCTGTGCTAACAGGAACCTTTTGGGACCATGACCCTACAAAGCTTTCACACTATTATTCAGTGAAAGGCATTAAGTGCTTCTCTAGTGATTTTTCTGGCCATCTTAAAATTATGGGCAGTGCTTCTAAACTTTAGCTCTGGCTAAAGCAAATAATCTGACATGATCTTATGAATTGTTTTGTAAACCTTTGAGGCAAAAGACACTAACTATTATGGTATTGTCCAAATAACAGCAAAGTTAGTACTTAGAGCTCAGAGAAGGCTGTGGACCAGCACTACTGAGGAATTCTCTAGCTGTAGGAATATACTAAAGGGAAATTTTTAATCGGTATTAAATGTAACAAAAAATGTAGGCTTAGCCACTAGTTAAATTTAAAGGAAAAAAACCCAACAAAACGAAACATGAGAATCCTGTGGATACTTTCCAGTTTTATTCTGCTGCCATAACATAGTCACACAGAAGAGTTGAAGTGTAACAGATCATGCTCTGCATTCAAATATTTTTATATAACATTTAAACAAATTACTCAAAAGAAAACATTCCCCAGTTCTTTATTTGCAGGGAATAAATTAAACACAAAAGAGAAAACACATACAAGCTTGAAATAAATTTTAACATAAGTCTTAAAAAAAATTTTGGGGAACATTAATTAAAGAATGAAGTCTCAGAACCAGCCTGATGTTCTTATACATTTCAATGAACGTAAGTTAAAATGGAACATACTTTTTTTTATTTACTCCTCAAACTTAAGTGCAGCACAACATAGTTTAAGTGCCTTGGCACCAACATAATATACAAATAAGTAATAGACTAGGCCATTGGTAAATTTATCATTTGTTATCTTTTTTTTTTTAATGCTGTAAGAAGTGCGCAGCAGCTAAAGTCAAATGTGACAGTGTTTGTTCATGTCCATCTCTATTCTCTAGAATATAGGATTTATCTACCTGCAAAGTTGTAGATTTAAAATCCCAAATACAAATTAACAGGATGGAAGCATATGTCTAAAATCAAGCACGTTCACACAAACTTTGGACTGCAGAAACGAATGCTGAGCTCAACTTTCCAGACAGTTCCTACCTAAAATGTGGTGAGTTTATATCTTGTTATTAAGCTGACTGAAGTTTTGACTGAGGTCAACTGAAGCAGCCATTGAATATGTTTTCGGCTCATAGTAATAAGTAGCTTATTTCCCACCTTCAGAAGCTCCTCTCCTAATAATTTTGTCAGGTATGATAAACTGGGAAAGAAAGTTGGAACTTGAACATACGCAGCTCAATCTTTCCTAGTTATGCTATAAGTTGGCCTGTAATATATGAAATCAACAAAGTGCAAATGATTACCAAAAGCAAAATCTGATGTCTGATTATCGTTTCTAATCAGAGAGTTTTGTCTTGCTTCTTTTAGCCTTTAAATTAATATTTAATACTTGGAAATACTTTAAAACTGTACATACTAGCATTTATGTAGAAGAAAATTATTATGAACAGTTAGGCTTTTGTTATTAATCCATATAATTCAGTTTTAAGAAGCAGAACAGAAATATATCTGAAAAACATCTAGTTATATAAACATCTTCACCTTGTAAATTAGAGATTAAATAAAGGTATTTAACAATATCATAGCTACTCTAAAGACAAAATACTAGGTATTTAAAAAGAATTGCATTTATTCAGTAGGATTTTTCTTAAGGTTGCTTGTTGTGTTGGTTTTCTTTTTTCCAAGGATAGAGCTTTATGGAAATAAGCACTGTAACTCAAAGTCTGCTGTGTCATTCTTAAATGAAGAGATTAAAAGAACAAAAGGGACTACGCATGAGAATGAGAGGAGGAAAAGAATAAGTGCTTAGTTTCCTTCCAGAAATCATGAGGTCTATGCAGTAAAGTTACAGAGAAGGTGTGGGGGAAGAGATGTAAAAGTTGGCTTTAATTTTTTTCACTGGTACTGTTTTAGTAGAACAGCATTACAACAGATATCCTGGTTGGGTCTGTCTTATTTCTACTGAAAAATATCTTTTTTTTTTTTTTTTTTCCTCCCTGCCCCATGGAAAAGCTATTAGCTAGATGCTTAGCCCTATGAATTACTCACTCAAGTTGTTCTTAATAATACTTTAATAATAAAATTAAAAAAACCCTTCAAGTCAAAGTGCAAGCCAACTTGTTTCAGCCCTTCATAAAAGTTAATATTTTTCCTCATTCATCTTCACTTATTTTTTAAATAGAAAAGCTGAATGAGCTGTCAGGAACTTAATCCTTCACCCTCCACTGTGCACTCATATCAGTAGATAGTTCCTCTACTCAGCCCGAATGAATTTGGAAGTTTGTTTTCAAAATATCATAGAAATATAGTATTTTTAAGCTGTCCTGTTTCTACATAATCAGAAGCACTAAGCAAATCTAAACTTAGCCTATTATTGTAACAAGAATTTCTCTGAGTAAGAAGCAGAGAGAATATTTCAAAGTTTTTTAAAGTAATGTAAAAGTTAATTTTTCAAGTTTTTATTAGCTACAATAACCTTTCTATGATTGCACCGTAAACTGTTCCAGCAGTCTGATTTAAAGGAACAAACTTGATATTCCAAAGCCCGCTTACTGGAGGCTAAGAATATGGAAAATATTATAGAAAAGGTTATTGATTGCAAATGGAAAGAATGATAGTTGAGTTCCTACAATAATTCTAGAATTTGTCTAGGCTATTCAGGCTTTTGGGAGCAAGTTTGAACTCCTATGAGCATAATCAACCTGAGAATCAACAGTTAGTGGAAAATTCCCATTATCGTTACTAACTGCCAGCATTTTTAATGCTGTATGTTAACTTAGTCTTGTTTTAATCTGACCTTCTGAAATGAAGGTTTACAATAGCATGACTTGAGCCATACAGAAGAGGACTCTCAACAGAAGTTTCATTAGTTAAGCTGTGGCCAGGGACTCCAATGTCACTCTTGCTAGTAATACCTTAGCTGGAAAAAAAGCCCCAACAATATGTATCACAAGGGCTTAAAAAAAGGGGAGAGGAGGGGAAGGGAGGGGAGGGGAGGGGAGGGGAAGGGAGGGAGTGAGAAAGAGGGAAAAGGAAGCTGAAGATTTTATCTTCAGGTACCATATACTATTTAAGTACCACTTAGGGAAAGGCAGCAAATAAGAAACTTGAAGATAGTTTTATCCACAGAAAACAGTTAAAAATATATCTATAAACACAAATTTTCAGTACTTAATATGCTGCTATTTTGCTTGCTTCTCGAACCCCACTCAAGTAAGCTCCTGTAACGGTCTGAGGAAAGTGCCTATTTGTGGCCTGTATGTTAAAAAAAAAAAAAAAGAGTTAATTGTTTTTAAAACTATTAGAACAGATAGAATTTCAGTTTATAAGATCAGTTTTGTTTTCCTTAAGCATATACCAACATTTTTGAAAGCCATGGAAATATTTAAGATTTTTAGTAACTTCAACACACGCAAGCAAGTCAGCTAGAAAAATTAGTACTCTTTTGCAATCTGCACTTTAGTGGGGCAGGTAAGTTCTGTTGCAGTATAGAATGCACCTATACTATCAGCAACGTGCGTTTGTTATGTTACCCACAATGGGGTAACAGAAAGATAATCTGACTAAAAACACAAGTGGATCATATAGTCTTGTCCTGTTCTGCACTTATTGGTTACGCAGTTCACTCCTGACCTGAAATATCTGGCAGGCTTTCCATGCCCAATAATAATATGAATAAAGAGGGTTCTTTGTCAAATACAAGAAATGTTAGCATATCTGTGTAACAGAAGATTTATGCACTACTTCTAGATTAATGGTGTTGGTTGGCAAGACGATCTTTCATAAGAAATAGTTCCCCAATAACAGTAATCAACAGTAACAAAAACACTTACCTCACCAGCGAAAAAAATTTTTCCTTGTATGTCTTCAGCTATAATGTCATAAGCTTCACCACTGCCCCCTGTTTTTACAAAACTATACGCCATCTGGAGCCAAGGGTCTTTGCTCCATTGAGTAACAAAAAACTTCACTGGGTCAGGAACCTCCTGCATAATCAAACTAAAAGTTATGCACTGCAAAGAAAACCTCATATTTGCATAGGTTTTTTTCTCATGAACAGTTTCTTGTAATCTTCAGAGTATGTAGTATTATTATGATACAGATGAGATCACATTCCAGAATTGAATTTGAATTTTCTTTATTATACTACTAACTGCAAAGATAATTTTGTTTGCTAGGCTTTCTTGATGTCTGAAACATCACAGTTGCACTCTTTTGAGTGAAATAAATCTGGATAGTGTAGTTCTAGTTATATTACACATGAGGGAAGGAAAATTCTCAAAATACATACATACATACTCTTGCAAACAGATAAAATACCATTATCAACATCATTCAACATGTTTGTATGTATAATGTAAGAAATTTACACCTTGGTAAGGCATGATGCTTTGCTACTTCTAGCTTGTTAAATCTCAAAATGTAATCTTCATCTTGGAGATAATTTTATTCCAATGAAGAAAATAAGATTACTTATCTAAAATCAGAAAATGAGCTGGCTTGAAAACTAGGTTCAGGGAGAAAACAAAAACCAGAAATTCAGAGTGTCTGTAGCTAAGCCATGACAGTAATACTATGTATTCTTTGTCACATTGCAGCATGCAAATCCCATGCAATTCTACCAAAAAGAGCCTGGGTAACAACTGTATGAAGGCTTAATCAACTTCAGCTGTGTCTTATCTTTGAGGAACTTGTGGCAAGAAAACAGAAGCAAACCCTGGTTGCCTCTTACACAACATCTGGTATCGACAAATATTGACTATACCATTCAGGTAGCACATGAGAGACTAAAGCTCAATCAATCAAGGCAATAGCTAGCCAAGTATGGCAAGTTTCACGGACGCCCCAGAAGTTCTGATATGCCCCTGGAAGCTGTCTTGTTGAAAAATCCTACTGCATTGTGGACAGATGGCTGAAACTCACAACTGCTATAAACCACGGAGACAGACATGAAAATCGCTCTTCTAGAATAGAGTGGCACCAAAGACCTGTTCAGTACCTCAACGTTCTCATGAGATCAAAATAGCAGGTATGTGGACTTAAATTGCACATGATTTGGGTAACTGTAAAGCCATTACCAAAAGTATGTTTTCTAGGAAAAGTCAGGCTTTCAGATGCCAAAGTTCTTCTAAGATCCTTAATCCAAATACCAGTAAAACTTGAGACATCACCTATGAACATTAATGCAACCTTCCTTGGGATCTAACTGCTCTAAGTAATTTAACTAAGACATTTCACTGTCTATAGAGTGGAATGCAAATAACATTGCTAAGTGATAGTCTTCTGCTTGCCCCCGATTTCTCTCATTTTCCTATTAGTTTTCACCAGGATGATGAGCTGGGGGAAGAAAAAAAGGTAGAAATTTGTATCCAAGATATTTATTTTTTTTTTTTACAGTCAGGATGTAGGGCCCTTGATAGATCATTTTGCCTGTGCCTCCATCCCAAGACAGCTCAGGAAGGGTTCTCTCTTATTAGAAGAGTAAGGCGTTCATTTGTTTGTGGGTGGGGGTGGTGATGTCATTTCAGTTGCTTTTTACATGGAAGGAGGGGGAATGACAATCAAATTCATCTAGCTTAAAGCTTTTATGAGGTATTGTAAGTGGTGATGATGGGGAAAAAAAAAAAAAAAAGCTTGGAAAAAGTGACAGCTATGAAGTGTATTTGCATTACCTGCCTAAAGCCTAATGTTCCTTTCTAAAAGTACCTTAAAGGATGATAGTTCATTTCTGTTATTCATTACCATTTTCCTTCAGACAGATCTAAGATAATTCAATTCACATTCTTCCCTCTGAAGAACAAACATGTTTTCTCAAAGGAAGCATATTTCCTCAAACTGACACAAAAAGAAATAGTTTAAACCGTCAAAGGTTTTCCTATACATTATGAAGTAATATAATCAAAAGCTTTACCTCTGTTGGCAAGTTAATTCATCTCCTAAGAAAAGAAGCTTCTCTTACCTGCTCCTTAAACAGCTCTCGAAGTACAGTCATACACTGCTGCAGTACTTGTTTATCATCTAAATTCTTAATGGTTGTTACAGCATCTCCAGTGACCACTGACATTAAAATGCTTTGTTTTCCCTAAAAACAAGACATTAACATATGAAATAATTTTAAAATTATTAGGTTAAGTATTTCTTTAAGAGTCCCTTTTAATTGGTATTGACAAAGAGATTGTCAGCTGCAAAGCAACTTGCGTTCTGAAGGAAAGTAAGTTTGATTCCTTAGAATAAAGGGTGCACGTTCTACAGTATTTATGCTCAAATTACTAATATCCTCTGATGTGTTGTTCACCGTGCTGTGTTACGGTCAGCCCCTTTTATGACTTGCTGAGTTAACTGAAAACTTCCCATCTAACTATTTAAAGGCTACACCAAAAGACTTGACATTTCTAGTTTTTCTTTGTGACAGACCTCTTAAGTTCCAGTTCCATGCCAAAGTTCTACCTCAACTGTGGTCCAATTTCAAAAGGTGGTAACAAAGAGAATCTATTTCAATACTAGTTAGATATGTTTTGGATTAGGCCAATACTAAGTTCTTACCAGCAGATTTGGGCCCAAGAAATGAAAACTCAGTTCTACTGGTGTTTCCTTCCACTTCAAAAAAAAAAATCTGCTACCATGCACAAGCTTCAAAGATGAAGTGGTGACTATAGAATAGCACACAGGTTCTCAACTCCTTTAAAGAACTCTCCCTCTCTTGTTTATATAAGGCAATTCTTCTGTTACTAAACTTGATAGGTAGCAGAGAATAGCTATCAAGCAAATTAAGAATTGTATCTAGTGTCTCCAGACAGCACCAGCACGCTGAACCTCACCTAGAACGAGCTTAAAAGTACTGAAGAGAAAACTTCTTAAGGGAAGTCATAGTTACAGATACTGTAGTAACTGAGCACAGTCTTCACAGGATAGTTCCGCTTTGGAGTAAGCCATAAGCTTACAAAATTTCTGCCAAGTAGTAAGTATCAGTTGCTGTAAAAGCATGAATGTAAAAGCATTTATATTACAATATAAATCTGTAATGTGTCTGCTTGGAACTGGCAGGGAAGAGAAACATGATGTCAATGCACTGGTTTGAATTTGGTTTGAAATTCATGAGTTTGGGACTGACCTTACAGACCTCAGTTTCATACAAAACCTAGTGTTTGTCTTTTCTTCTGCCACTCCACATAGTTGTTCAGGTTAGCGCAAGTCATTAAGTATTAATAAGCCAGCATGAACTTTTGAACAGGATTTTTAGCTGATTTAAATAAGGGAACAGAAGTACTAAACTGGAAGTGACTAGTAGACTTTTTCCCATACTAGTACATCTACTGTCAGGTATTAGAGTCTTGTATTCAAGGTAGTTTGAGAACAAAAGCATTAACTTCCTTGTATATTACTTTGTATCCAAATGTAGGAAAACATTCCCATTTATTGCAACAAAGTATCAATCAGCTTTTTCTTGATAAATATACTCTTCCGCTTCTTTTAACAGTTGCGGGGGTGGGGGGAAGAATAAAACCTTCATTGTTCACTAATTATTGCGCCTAGTTTCCAAACTGAATTTCTGAAGGGCCAACAGAAAATACAGCTAGCATATGATACCTCTGGATCCATGTCATAGAAAACACTAAAGAGCCCACGTTGGCTGGAATTGGGTGGAACATGACCAAAAAAATCAGCTCCTTGAATTTTACTGTCCCAAAATCTGTAAGGAAACTGCAAGGCAATCTAGAGAGAGTGTGAGAGAGAAAGAGAATTAAAACGGTTCATACCACAAAACTCATAACTGGATATGCTATATGATGTTCTTCTAGTTCTTTTTCCCTTTTCCACTTCATTAGAGACACTCGGGTCTATAAGGGGGTCTCAACAGAGATCATATGGGCCTGTTCTCCAAGGGGGACAGGGAAGGGGGAAAAAAACCTGCTAGTCGCACAAACTGCAAATGCACAGACAGTATCAAATCACAATGGAATTCACTATGTAAAACGGTCAAGAAATTCAGCAAAATTTTTACAAACCTAACATAGAACTTAGTAATCCACATCCTGGGAGGGAGAGGGGGAGGTTCTGAATCTTGCCTTTAAATTTCAGCATTGTTATAATCCTGTTTCTGGCATTACTTCTTTTCCTGTTTTGTTCTAAGCACACACCCTACTAGGGATCTGTTTAGGAGAGTCTGTCTTTATCCACTGGGAAAGGGTAGGAGATTTTACACCGGTCAAATACACAGCTTTCAGTATTCTTCTGAAATATTTTATGTATTTATTAGGGTCAAAAAGACTTGGAATAAGCATATTATAAGAATTTTGAAAGATCTAAGATGATCACAAAAGCTTGCTCAAAATTAGGCACAAAACGTTTAAGCTGTGAAGTGATTCTGCAAACAATTTCTCTAAAAACCCCATTATATAGGGAAATCTAAGGAACAGAAATACATGTGATCCCCCATAGCATTTTGTTCTTTTGGACTACTGTGTACAAGTAAAACCAAATGCATAATAAATCCTGAGAAATATGCAGCAAAAGCAACAGGGACAAGGTAGCCAATGTTTCTATTAAAAGAAAATGAAATGTAATCTGAATTTACTTACTTTCTCAATGACTCCTGCTCCCAAACTATTAATGGCTTTAATTTTTTTTTCTGACAGTGGAGGATTAAACTGAATGGCATTTTTCTGAAGAAGGGCCAGTGGTACAGTCACTAATACCTGGAAGAAATAATTACAGTCACAAGAGTAGCAAAAGCTGAATACTGCACTTAAGCCTCACGGCATCCTCTTAACTATCTTGGATTATTCATGTAGGATGCAGCATAATACTCACCAGACATCTCTAAATTAGTGTCTGGTTTTACTCCCCATTAATGGGAAATGCATGCCTTACTTTTTGGTGAGAACAGATTCTGCTGTTTACTAGTTTGAAGTTGTAGTCTGTTAAATTACTTGTATCAGAGTGGCTAACTAATTTTAATACCTCCTGTAAATTATACTCAATGGCTCTCAGATTAACAAAACTATTTTTGAAAGGAGAGAATATAGTCATTATTTTGGTTTGGTTTTAATTCCTTCAAAGATCCCTTCTCTTTAAAAAATGCTTAGTAACACTGTTGATGTCAATCCAATCTTGATCAAGTGTATATATCATTTTAAAAATTACTAAAAGCTAGATTATGCAGCATGAAGCAGGTGGGGATATAGGGAATAAGGAAGACTGAGAAATAAGGGTTGTCAAGTCCTGCACACCAAAGGGAAAAAATTTAACAGGGCAGATTCACATGCTAAATGGGGTAAAGCTGAGCAGGGAATGCAACCAGAAAATACACTGTCACTTCAAAGACCAGATTAAAAACTTATTTGCTTCACAATTTTAGTACTGCCTTTATAGTGCTTAGTTCTTCAAATTAGCTAGTACTCATAACTCAAGTATGCTCAATGAAAAATAGGCTCTAGATAATTTTTGCTAGAATACGTGAGTTTTCATCTTTGAGTGGGTAGAAATTGGACTAAATAGTCGGGGGGGGGGCGTGACTAAAAGGACGTGTACTGTGGTCAATATTGTTTTTGTGTTCCCTAAAATCCTTAATCTTGAAGCATATTGGGTACCTTTTGTGTTGTCCACACTGTTCCATCTGCAGTAGTGATCTGCACTTCTTCACCAGAATAGTCAATACTCTGTACCTATTAATAGACAAATTGAAGATTATACTACAAAATCTACATATGCAATGCAAATTCAGACAAGAATAGCTAATATAGAACCAGTCTGCAAAGTACAAATTGAAGAACACAAATTTCCAGAGAAACACTGAAAGAGAAAAAACAGCCTCCATGGAAATGAAAAAGAAGAATCATCATGATTCTAACATGTATAAGTTCATCATATCATAATATTTAAGTACTGATAGTCCTCAAAGAGGACTTCCAGAAATGCTGGAATTGTCCTCTTTTTTTTTCTTCCAGACCAGTCAAAATAGTCACAGGCACAGATTTGCCTCATCCAAAAGAATACAAAGATATGATTAGGTGCTTCAAAGCAATCCAAGACAGGCACTGCATCAACATTTTCCAGACTCACTGGGAAATTCAGCCGGATGTCCAGCCCTTCTGCCAATTTATCGATCACAGTAGAATATCCCACAGTTAGAAGAGTGTGATCTCCAGCAAACTGGGCAAAAAATTCATTGTGGTCCCATGAGCGTGCAGATACCTGTGGACAGAATATAACTAGCTGTCTCTGCTGGTGACGTGACATGGGTCCTAGCAAAAGTCCCACAGTTTAGAAGAAGCCACCCTAATTCCCTTGACAACTGGAAAAAGAACACGTATCACCAAAATGTATGGCAATGCTGACAAAAGCAAACGGCTTATTTACCTAAGGCCACTCTACAACATATGAATTGATGGATTAAGACATGTCCTAATATGGGTCGGTTACAAGCAGTTCTGCTTGGTAAAGAAAACAAGGAAAGCAGTACAAAAATTCAGGTGGATTGCAGTGTATTTATTTCAGTTTTCTGTCTCTAGCAAAGAAATCAGATTTTCCAGCCTTAAGACTTCAAATAAAAATGGAAATATTTTATTTCCTAATATGAAGGGGAAAATAAGATTAAAAAAAAAAAACCTCAATGGAATTTTTCTGCCACTTTGAAGGTTCTTCCAGGATATCTTTCATTGACCTTCTCCCCCTAGCCCTGCAAACTCATAGTTAGTACAATAGTGATATTTGCACTAAGCAATCACCACTTAGCCGTGAAAAAGCTGAAGCAATTCTCCAACTGCTATTAAAATGCCAGTTTCTATCACTGCAGTTGCATTTACTTCATATTTTGATTTTAAAATTGAAGGTAAGATAGATGTTAACATCTTTCTTATTTCCCCTGGGTGCTCCTGAAGTGTGAAAGATTGACATATCAAAATATTTTCTGTTGACTGCCCTGCTATAGCATTGTCTTGCAGATTTTTGTTATGTTCTTATGCGCTTCTCAGTTCACATCAGATTTGTGCATCTGCACATATCAATCAGCTGTCCCACTACCATAGTACAATTGACCCTAAACATCTTTAACCCAAACAATGCGACTGAGTAAATAATGCACTGCAAACAACATCATACTTTGATATTTCCTGAATCTGCTTGCTAAAAACTGAAGTCACAAGGAAAGTCAAGTATCACATAGTCAACAGAATACCTAGGAGTGGTGAACTGGGGCCCACCGTCAGGGTGTTGGAACACTTCTGAAGTTAAATGCATTTATTCTCAAGATACCTAGCAAGGTAGAGAAATACCTCAGTTTTTAAACACAGAACTGAGAAGCAGAAGTCACACACAACATCTGAGGAAGAGTAACTCTCCTGTGAATCCTACCACCCAGCATCTCGGCAAAATGCCCTACTCCACTGCACCATCTACTCTCAAATTCTATGTTTAAAAGGATGTCGCTGGAAGCACATCATAAACTCCCATCAGATTGCCTAAGGCAGTGCTGGAGTCTGTCTCAGTGCTTTTAAAGAACAGGTTAAGGATGTAGGAAGAGTTTAGGGATAGCTGATTCTTCCTTTTGGGCCATGGGATGGATCAGATGACTTCTCAGTATTACTTCCAACCCTATTTTCTATGAAACTCCACCACTTCAGCACACAGCTGTAAAAACTCACCTGAGAGAGATTGCTGCCACAGGCATACTCCAAATTACTGAGATGGAACTGTAGTACTTTTTCTTCCAGCTCACTGAACTGGATACCAGACTCCTGAATAAAGGCTTTATAGATCTCTTGTATTTTTTCTGTGAAAGAACATGTTTAAGATAAGAATATATCGTCAATTGTCAGAAGTCCTAGTGCATTTCAATGTGCTGTTCTCTGGATCACAAGATTTTCAAGCTTATTGCTGATTTGCACTACGATGTTTTTCTTCTCATAGCAAAAACCACAAGATCTTTCTGGTGATAAAATACAACTTCATTGTTTAGTCATAGGTTTCCCTAGTAAAATCTTCTTCTTCAAAAAGGAAACATACGTAGTTTCAGGAAAAAAAAAAGTTAAAATGATTTCAAAGAGGAAAAAAACCAAAAAAACACTGTCCAACAGCACAGCTGGGCTAGCCAATTGAGACGGGAGAGAAATTAATTGTTTGGCTATCATCAATATACAGTTGAAGATATTTCAAGGAAAATACACTTTAAGATAAAGGAGAATGCTTGCAAATAAATCCTGCTTAATTTTTACAAAACCAAAAGACCTGAGAAATTTGATCCAGAGTTCACCGACGAACATAGGAGTTGCTAATTCTGTCTTACATTATCCACGCTGAAAAGATTCGGGAGGCAGACGTTTCTGAGCAAGTTTATTTTTTGTTGTTGAATGTGCTTGCATGCTATAAGTGTGGCGGGAGGCGTTACCAATGGAGATGAGACTGCTTGTGCCAGCAGATGCCTTTGATCAGGCTCTTTTTTAGACAGATTAGTCAAAAAGTATGGCTAGCTATGGCCTGCTTCAGCAAGAAGCAGGTCTTTTGAGCTGCTAGTGCCTCTAGCTATACTGAAAAAGCTACCTCATGAAAACAAGATAGTACATCAGAAGTCATCCAGTACTATAAAAGCCTTCAACTTAGGCTTTCTAAGAAGTTACAAGTGACACTTTGGTCTGTGGGTATACGATAGTCAGTCTCCCTTTGTCGCCCGCAGAGCCAGGTTATCACTGTTAGATTTAAGGTCAGATGTACAGCCATACACGTCTAAAAATATCCGATGTAAAAGCCAATTTAATATAAAACTCTATGAACACAGCGAACATCTTCACTTTGCATTACATCTCCCACTTACCACCAAGAGGAACATCTTGATGTTGGGTTTTATCTTTTCTCCACTCCGAGACGACATCTAGGATGGCATTGAAATGAAAGTCCATACGTTTATCAATAGTGGGATCTGTTATCCTTCCACCTTCCTGGATCAAGTCACATTTCTCCCCTAGTTTGTGCATTTTAATGCCAAGCTTAAGAAAAAGACATTTTATTGCTTTTTAAGTATGGAAAAACTACAGTGCCTAGCCTGCTCAAAGTTATTTAAAGTAAGGTGAATCCCTCAGATTTAAGTGATGCCACTTAAAAAATATCCATGACTTGAAGTAATTAGATTAACTCAAACTCTCATTCTACTAAAACTGGAATAACTAACAATCCTTCTATCCATTGATTGTCCACAAACTGATTATCCCCACTCTTCCATCCTTTTCTTTATAAGGGATTCCTAGAAACCTCATTTGCAACTTTCCTATCAGGCCAGGGGCTAGTATGGAGATGTTGGGTCTGGTAATCAAACACAATGAACCAATATCCTTCATTTCTACCTCATCTTATTCTCTAAGCCACCATTAAAATCAGCTCTTTTCTGCAACTTTCTGGTGCCTGATGCCCAAACAGTTCCCTGCATTCAGGAATTGACGGGATGTTGCATGCCAGTTACCACCAGATTCATTAACAAACAAGCAAAGAAAAAATTTATTTGGAATTAAACCTAGTATCTTGCCCTGCTTGTCCAACTTGGATCAAACACACAACAGAGCTAAATCAGAGCAGAGACGTTTTTATGTTCTACAGAGTCAGTCTAGAGAAAATAGCACAAATACAGCGCTAACTTCTTCCTGGGGCCTTGTTCCTTGGGGTGCACTCCAGTGTTTTTCACATATCCTTACATCTCTCTAGGCTCTTAGTCACCACTGCAGATGTCCCTTCAAGATACAGTTGTACTTTGAACGACAGATGACATCAAATGACCTCAAAGGGATAAGCACCCAAGGTGTATTCAGAAGTCATTGCTCCTCACTTCATAACTAAAGCATTATTTAAACAAAAAATAATAATTCTTCATACTATAGAGCACTAAACAATTAAAATAACATGGGCTGGATTTGCATGCCTCTCTGAACAAAATCCATACTCAAGTCCCACTTGGAGAAATTCAGCTTCCTGCCCAAAAGAACTCAAACCAAACCAACAAATTAAAAAAAAAAATATCAAACTGCAGTGTGTTTGCATCAGTAGTTGTTATAAATATTCATCTTAACTTGTGCAGAATTGAACAAGAAATATAGAAGCTGAGCAAAGGCAAGTCCGTCATAGAACTACGTATTACGACAACACAGCAATAGCCTTCCACTGTAAAGCCTTTCTCAGCTCTAAGGAAGTCTGTCAGGGACCTTTTACATTACTGTCTCCAGAGACGGGGGAAAAAAGTGGTTTCTTCTGGTTTTGAAGCTGGAGCCACTTGTGGGGGTTTTTTTGTGGTTTTTTTTTTTTGAGCATAATGTGCTCAAAATAATTCTACAGCCCCTCTCTGTCTCCAACTGTTATCAAAGCCATAATAGCAACATGGAGTTTACTTACAACACAGAAGGGTGTTTTAATCACGTCACGGAAAAGGACTCCCACCCTTACCCAGCCACCCAAATCTGGCTTTAACAACAGTTTTTCACTAGTGATAATGTATGACCACTGCAGGGAACCCACTTGCTCACACATTAGTGCCATTGGGTTGTTGACACATCCATTGACGATTTGTGCACCTCTTCCAACAGTGACTCCTTTGAATGTCTTATCATCCCACACTCGGCCACCAATTCTGTCTTTAGCTTCTAAGACAATGACCTATGACACAATACAGGTTAGTAAATGGCAAGATTTGATTATATTAAACGTATCTGTTCAACTCCAGAGCAAAGGGGGAAACAAAACACAAAAAATCCCAAGCAATCCGTCAGTGCTAACAATCTTAACACTTTATTTTCATTTGTGGTATAGTTCATTTATGCATTTAAATTGTCTTTTAAAGGTTACCCTTTAGGATATATACATATAAAATAACTGTTACTTTAAGAAACAACCCTAACAAAAATAAGCCTCCTTTTTCAAAAAGCTAAAGACCTATTCAGGAAACCTCAAAATTGGAGTTTAAGGCATGCTATAGGCTTTTAAACACAATGATCCAGGTGGAGTGTCCATTGGAGGAAGTCCCTACACCTTTTGCAGAAATTTATTCCTGGGATAGTCCAAGAAAACCCCATTCTCATGTATTTCCACCATTCATGCATATGTCCTTCAGCATCCACTACTTGTCACAGACAAACACAGGATACTGGACTAGATGGATGTCTGACTGACTATGTTCACCCTTACTTATATTATCTTTTTATTTTTAGAGAAAGTCTTTTTAGAGAAACTCCATCTCTCCAGAACAGTGAAAAGCAACAGTGTATATATATATGAAAATACATATAGTGTATTTTATATATTTTAAAAAGTCCTGTCAGTTGATATTTATATTTATTATACTTATATTTATTAATTAGGTTGCCCTATACATAAATATTTGTAACAAGAATGTAATATTTTTCATTTTGATGAAGAAAGCTGTCAAAGCAGAGGAAGTCTGATCTTTTAAGTAATATACTCTGAAGTTTCTTACCTTAATTCCAAAGTTGTGCAGTTGTCGGGCTGCTGCTAATCCTGCTGCACCAGCCCCAACAATAATGACAGATTTCTAAAAAATAATAAAAGATTTAAATAAATAAAAATAGTTAGAACTCAAATAGAAATTATCATTGCACACTTATTTTTCTTCTTGCTAAAGTTAAAAATACCTGTAGATTTCAGAAGTCTAGGCTTTTTTGTCCTCAGTAAAAGTAATCAGTGATAACTTTTAAAGATCATAGTGCATTTAATATAGAGAAAAGATCAACCGTAGCTTTGATAATATGTACAGTTTTAAGGACTTTACAAGCCGATGTCTCAACTTCTTTTAACAGAAACAGCTGAAGGTATCAGTCAAGTAACAAAATCTAACTGAAGTTATCAGACAAGAGAAACACCTTGTAATGATTTCAATCACAGATTGGGTTGAACAGTAAAAACTATTTTATAAATTAAAAACATATACAAATACACTTTACAAACATAAATCAACTTAGAATTCCTAGGAGATATTCCATTACAGGATACATTAATTTGATACGTTTCTGTGTGCTGTCAAGCAAATTGCTAGTCATAAATATGTACCCTTTAATCATAATTCTTGCAAACCAATACAGAATAGGAGTTTCCTCAACTATGGAAGCAGAGGTGTATTACAAGATTAAGCCATGAGAAGAACCTGAGTGTACTGTATATATTTCTCACATAGTTCCCATCCATCTGAAAAGCTCATAGGAAGCTCCAATCTATAGGACTGAATTCCATCATTGTGGGAACAAACACTTTGCTGGGAAGAGTCTCATGGCTGTAATTTCCATAACCATCGAAGGCAGATAAGAACCATGTGAAAAATATGTGATGTGTTTGCTTTTAGATGTATTTTTTACATAAAAGGTTGGAATGACAGGTAGTAAGTAAAAAATCCAGAACAAAAAAAAAATATGACATGTACCATGTAGTTTCATAGCACTGATAATATAAGGATTATTATAGCAACTTACATTGTGGTATTCTTTAGGAAGAAGATACTGGTCAGGACTGACTGATAAAATCCCTGTATTAATTAGCCCTTTCCTTGTCATAAAATAAAGTATCCTCTCCATTTCCCGTACACACCGAATACGCACAAGTCCCCGAACAATGATGTGATGGATACATTTTTGAGGGGTAAGAGCCTCCTGCAAAGGGGAAACAAAGAATAGAAAGTTTTGATTTTCTAATATTAAATTTTTTTATGCATTTACATCATGTTTAAACTGTTAACCAGATGGTAAAAAATTAATCATGAATCAGGCTTCTGACAGCATTTTAAAAGCAAGTTTTGTGGCAGTTTCTTGCTAGCCAGCTTTACACAGTAAGGTAACAATTTATTAAGCTAGATTAACATGGAATAAAAGCAAATGAGTCTACAAGATACTCTCACAGACTCCATGGTGTGCTCCATTAGTACAGGAACAGTACTGAAATGCGTTCCTGATTGCAAAACGAATCTACCTGATGGCAATGCTCACAGTGACATTCCAGTAAAATCCATTCCAAGATGGCATTCCATTTAAAAAATAGATCAATATCCAAAACCTTCAGATAAATACAGACATCAGTATCTGAAAGCTTCAATACGTGAAATTCCAGCAATTCCATTGGAGGCAGCATCATAGAGTTAGCACAAGTAAAAAGACAATCACTTCCTTGTCCAACAGTCATATGGGAAAAAAAAAATAAAAACATAAAGCACCCACAAACACTGTTTAGAAATGTTCAAGCATCCCTTTAAAAGTTAATAGCTGGGCAGACTCAGTAGAGTTTTAATACTTTTAAAACGTTTGCATTTTACTGCAAAAGAAGTTCCCGGGCATTAAAACTCAAAACCAAAACATAACACCAAAAAACCAGCCAATCTTAGAATGGATTTTCAAAAGGATGGGAGCAATTTTTCTAGTGCGTAAGGAGCTGTCAAAGAAGAGAGTCCAATCCCTCTGCTCCCCATCCCCCAAAAAATAGCTCGTATTTGTAAACTGACAAGTTAACTATTAGCATCTCTTACCTTGCAGTTTGTGTACCACAGGGCCAAAATCAGGTTTCTCAAAGCCAAGTACATGGTAGGGTCTCGTGAATATTCTGGGAACTCATAGAGCTCATCCAGTTCCATGACATCTGGCCTCACACAAAGTGCTTTCCCACATTCATTGGGCTGGTAAAAAGGCTGGAAATACTTGTTCATGCCTGCAACTGAATAAAGACACACCAAGAACTAGTCATATTCCATCATATCTTCATTGTATATTTTTCCCTCTAAGACAATCCACTGACCTCAACACAGAAAAACAAGTAACGAAGCTTTCCAGCCTCTAGCCACCTTCAGAATGATTTAATGTATATTGCTGTCCCCTCTCCTGCCCTCTAGGCCGTGCAGTATCAATTATTGATCTACTACCTGATGGGTGCGTCTGTCAGAGCTTAAGTTTTGTCAGAGAAACAGTATGTGCCCTCGGATGCCACGACGAGTCCAGCAAGGAACAGGATCTAAACTCAAGTCTAAGGTCTAACATTGCTGTACAGGCTCATGCAGTCCTCTGAATCCCTTCCATCTTCAACTCCCAGTACTGCCCAGAGTAGGTAGTAACTAAAAGTAATCATCTTCCACATGCAGTATTGGTAGCTCTATGTAATGAAGCTTTCTGTTTATTAAGCAGATAAATATCTGTTGAATAGATAAGCAGACTTATTTTCAGCACCTAAGGAGAGCAAAGCCTGCTAAGAAAACACAGAAACTGAACTTTCCTCTAAGGACACTCTCTGAGCTAGTATTGAGGTTTATCAATAAGGATGAGTATGGGAATCCTGAATTACCTTTCTCCGTGCCTGACCTATTCTGCAGATCCACACTCCCAGGCTGTCAGTCTCAGAACTGCCATTAGCAAAAAATTCATCTAAACAGAATCCAAGTGCCTTAAGAAATCAAATCCTTTTCTCCAAAGGCCCAAAGATCCACAATATCAAACCGAGCAGAATCATGTTTTGTTTTGATAAATCTTCATTTCCTTAAGAATGCAAACAATCTTTAAGTACCCGCATGTTCATTTCCCATTTCTATACACAAACGACAGGCAGTGAACAAAAAGCCTATGCAGTCTGTGCTTACTCCCTAAAGAAATGCCATACGAAATGTATTACCTTTATCTTACAAACGAGAAAATTGCATCAAAGAAGTACAGAGGCAGTCACACAGAGAGTGTGTATTAGTGCTGAGAACAGAACCAGTAGTTCTGAACCAGGAGCATTATGTGCCTTATAAACTCACTTACAAGACAGAATTTATCACACCTATTTAAGCAACAGAGCCCTGCAGATGGCCCTTACCAGTCAAATTAGGCACGCTCTTTAAGTGCTCTAACTTCACAAGGTTGGATTCACCAGGTAACCGATTAGTGCTGGTACAGGATGGACTCATGCCCACGCAGTCTGGATAATATGCAGCTAGAAAGGGAGCTGCCACACTGTCTTTCAGCAAAGGAGGGAGTATGAGCATGGAGTACCACCAATGGTCTGAAACTTCAGCCACTCTCTGGCCAAGCGGAGAAGTGAAGGAAAGAGGGGAGAAGAGAACACGTCAGTACTTTGAAAACGTTGGAAAAGGAACCAATTCCCCCCCCTCCCTCCAATACTGAGACCAAAAAGCACGAGAAGTACCAATCTCAGAATTGCGAGTCATGAAGACATTTTCTCTCCCTCTTTCCCCTTCCTCAGCCTGACACAGAAAACCTGTAGCATTAATCTCTTCCTCAGAAGTGGAGCTGAAACTTCACAAACTCCACAGCCCCGTGGAAAGCAAACAGATGAGACGTGCCATGACAACACATCTATGCCTTATCAGGTCATTATCAGGCCATTTACGGTCGTTTATGCAACCAGAAATCTGAACTTAGAAAAGTCTACGCTAACTGATCAATTTAATTTAGATTCTGCTATCCCTGAAGACGTTCTAAAGCCCTAACTCTAAGGCTAATGACTCAGCCTTGATTTACAAAAGGAACATGCATTAAGGAAACAAAAAACACAAAGCTTCTACGAGAATCAAAAGAAAGCTTGAACGTGTTTCCTGGGATAGATGTACTGCAGGTACACTTGCCAACATTGGCTTATTGAACATGAGATCATACTAAATCTGAACTACAGGGTTACATGATCATAAACCCACTGCAACACCAACGTACATCAAGTCTAATTTTGTATTTTGAGGGAGAGGAGAGAGAAAACATGTTCTGATGTTCTCTTGCAGTCTTCAAAAAGAGACTAGCTTTACTAAAGATAGAAACCACCTGAAAGACAGGGAAATTTTAGGATGGGGAATTGCATTTGAAACCTGGCAACTGAATACCGTTTTGCCTGATCAAAAATGAGAATTAGGAGTAAACCTTGAATCTCAGGCCACAGCTCAAAGACACCACGAACCACCTGAAAGCTAACTGGCATGGCAAGGGAAAAGAGGAAAAAGATGAGACAGTAGAAGGCCCTAGGCTCTGTTGCAAATAGTGTCTGACAGTTTCCTGAGCAAAATGCATAAATACCGCCATAATTGGCCAAAGGACCAAGAAAAGGAAGGAAATATGCCGTGCTTTAAGACTGCTTTTATATTCAAGGACAAATGAGAAGGAACAGCTGTTACTCACCAAGTCCTCAGGCATGGAACACTGGTCTGAGCCCTCAGTCTGAAAGAAAAGGGAATGGTATCAGAGGTATTCTTAAATTGTACAACAAAAAGTAAATCTAAACCAACATAATTTGGCCATAGCATAGTTCTTTAAACTTAAAAACCAAACAAAAAATGTATTAGTTTTAGTCTTCTGTAGCAGAGATGACTATGTTAGTAAAAGTAAGTAATAGAGAAATGCACAGTTAAAAACACAACACACCATAAAGTCAAAACACCCCAGAAAATGTTTCTCATTTGTTAAATTAAATAGTTTCTACTGATCAGGCATTAAGATATACATTTTATTCCATGAAATATAGTGGAACACTGAAACAAACAAGTGGGGGGAGAAGGGGGAGGAATTTTATAGAAAAATTCTGGAAAGATTCCACATTTTCCAGAGACTCTTCCAGTCTAGACTATAAAAAAAGTTTCTCATTTATTTTCATAGAATCACAGAATCCTCAGAGTTGGAAGGGACCTCTAGAGATCATCTAGTCCAACTCCCCTGCTGAAGCAGGATTGCCCAGAGCACATTACTCAGGACTGCATCCAGGCGGGTTTTGAAAATCTCCAGAGAAGGGGACTCCACAACCTCCCTGGGCAGCCTCTGCCAGTGCTCTGTCACCCAAACTGTAAAGAAGTTTTTCCGTGTGTTGGAATGGAACTTCCTGTGTTCCAACTTGTGCCCATTGCCCCTCGTCCTGTCACTGGGAACCACTGAAAAGAGTCTGGCTCCATCCTCCTTCAACCCACCCTTTAGATACTTGTATGCCATAATAAGGTCTCCCCTCGGCCTTCTCTTCTCCAGGCTGAAGAGTCCCAGCTCTCTCAGCCCTTTAAGAGGGTTTTTATCATAAAGTTTCAAGAAGAAATGCTGACCCTTCTGATTTTCATGTGGTCAGTATTTTCATGTTATGTTTTTTACTATATAGATTCTATGGCACTATAAGGACACTTTCAAATTTCAGGAGTTATCTTCATGCCAAAGCTGAAAGTTTTTATGTAAAGTCGCATGACAAACTTCCTAGCAATTAATAAAAGCCTATTAAGCTTTTCAAATGCTTTCCTCAATAATGAGGCATGGCCAAACAAAACCAAAACAAACATTTTGGTGTATGTCTGTTTTGTACGTGCTAATAATCTCTCCATAGTTTCAAAATGAAGGATTTTACAATTGACTATGCAGGGAATAGTATTCCAGATACTTCTCTCTTGACATTCCTACTTGGGAAACAAAAAGTCCAAACAGATGTAGACCTGTCACCGTGCAGCTCTCCAGACCATCAGGCGACTGTTTTGGCATTAGAAACATTAAGTAGCAAAGCAAGAAGCAATTAACATCTGCAAACGAGAAAAATCAACTTGTTGTTCATTTCAATATGAGCAAAACTCTTCTGCGTTACCTTGGTGGAATTGTTCAGTTTCATACCACATCTGTAGGTTTTTGCTATTTGTGGTGTCAGCTGGATTTCCTTTGTCAGCTGACGCCATTTACCACAGTCTGGCTTTGTGCACTGCACCTACAAGTCAAAAAACAAACATGTTTTTACTTGTTGGTGTCTGATTACAGATAAGATTAACGAAGCATAAATAACCAATTAGAAAGCAGAGAGATGTGAGGAAGTTGTCAAATATAATTGTTAAATTCGTTCTCATGTAAGCCTCAGGTCACAAGTAGGACAGCTGGTATACAGAAACCTTGTGCCCATCTCCTGTAAGGCTGAATTTCTCCACAGAACCTAATTCCAAAATTAATTCAACACCCAGTTACTATGGTCTTCAGTGGGTTTTGCAAGCATTAGTGCAAAAACACATGGTTCACCACTTCAAAAACAACAACCAAAAAAAACCCCACACCACCAACAACAAACTTCCATCCATTCCAGTCTCTCTTCTTCTGCTCTCTTTACCAGGGAAATACAAAATCTGTTTTGGAAGTCTTTCACACGCGTACTTTCTTATTGCTGGCACACTTCCTTTTCCCCACCAAGTCTTATTCTATCTCAACATCTTAGCAGCTACTTCACTGAAAAGCAACAGAAGGTTCCTCTTTGTGGGGTGTGGAGAAGGTCTCCAGCAATCAAGGAGCTGATCAGAATTACTATCTTGAGCTTTTCCACAGTCTTCTAATACTGGAAAAACCCTGCGAAAACTCAGCTAACCTGCTGCTTGAACATACAATATCAGAAACTCACATCAGAACATCGCATTGAAATATATCCTATTAAATAAATCACCCTCCATCTTACCCAGTAAGGAAGCTGTTGATCAGCCATGAATGCTTTTGGACTGGGCTCACTTTTACCATTACTTGTCCAAATCCTTTTCCAGGCAGTATATTTCTCATAACCATCTTTATGGCTATGAAGAAAGAGAAAAGAAAATGGCAAGCGGTTAGAAAATTTAATATCTAGTTCATTTCAAGCAACGGCACTTAGTCTAAAATTAAGCATTTTTTATAAGGACAGAGAAAGAAGGCTGTAGAGAGTCTTATATTTTTCCTATTAAAAAAAAAGAGAAAGTCTTAGTTCTTACAATAGCAATAAATTGCATCCTGACCACTATGTTCTCATGATCACGAGCACACTTCCCGATATCTAAGGTCTGGACTGAGTCACAGGTACTGCTGAGCATATAAGCACCCAAAGGTCTTAGCAGAGCTGGACTCAACTCCCACTCAAATGGGAAGGAGCTTGGAGCCGAAAGCACTCTGTGAGCTTGACTAGTCTTCACGGTCACTGAACCGCAAGCATTAAATCTGCTCACTGATCTGATGTTACAGAGAGGCAAGACCTCCTGGCCTCACATTGTAAAGTGAATTTGCTTTATAAAGGAAAATACATTTACTTAAAACTGTTCTCATAATTTAAAATTCTCTGATGGTGTTTTAAAAAAAGGAGAAAAGCTTCAAAATAACCACACACAAACCAGCCTGCCTAAAGTAACCGGTTTTGTTCACGCTGCTGTGTTTTAAGTTGACGATTAGGCCATAAAACACCTGCAGTTTTAGTATCAGTCTCTAAGCCTAGCTTTGAATAAAGCAAGCACAGAGGACAGGTCCTTTGCACATGATGTTTCAACAGTTGTAATGTCTGCTAAATTTTAATAAGCATGAAAAGGCCTGACCTTAATTGGCAAATTTACCTTCGGTAATAGTGGTCAAAACATTCGTTGCAGAAGTGTTCCCCACAGGAAAGATGATACCATCTAGACGTATACCCATTTTTAGCACATCTGTAATGCAGGAGACATAGAAATAGTTTTATGATACATTTAGAAAAGAATCTATTGACAGTAGCACATTCTAGACTGTGAACAAAATATTCAGGACAAGCCAGGGCTTTATGTGACATTCACGAAGGCTGACTTGCACAAGGCTCTACAGTCATACAAATAACAATAAGATCCTTTCAATTGTCTTAAACATTTCCAGTTTCCAAACTAAGCAACACCAGATGCAAAGGAGGCAAAACGTACACAATGTGCAGTTTTATAGTTGGTCTGGCTTCCAGCTACCTCCCGCTAACAATGGTCAACTGAGCCTGTCTTTAGTACCCTTAAAGCAGACGTTTCCTGAACATTAAATACATTTGATCTTACAATATGAGCTGTGACACACTAAGCATTTTGCAAATGTATACGAAGGCAAAGTCCCTCTCCAAAGGCACTTACAGTTCCTTTACTTTGTTCCATTTTTTTCTGATATTAGTGCAGGGGTGGGAAGGATCATTTCAATTAGTAATTTTCTTGTATGCGTGATCAGTTGATTCATAAATCATTACAACAACCCATCTCCAGAACAACCAACAAAACTGTAAAGGCAAATCTGAACGCAAAACAGATGTTGCCTATTTCTTTCACGTGACTTGAGTTGACTGCGATTTTAACCCAATGGGAGAAAACCCTGAGGAAGCAGTTACACATTCTGGCCATTTATTCTTTATTACTCTCAGAAAGAAATATCCATTAGCAAAGATTATATTCTTCAGACAAAGCAATCGCTCTTCACTTATAAAACTCTCGTTAAACTCAATGAATCAGTTCAAAATAAATACATGAGGTAAAAAGCACAAGGTAAAAAGCAGTGACTTAAACTACTAACCGAAATCGCTAGCCATGAAATGATCTCATCGCAAATAAATAACGTTGAAACTATGTTCTTGGGGAGGTGGGGGGTGGAAATCAAAATATTAAAATAACAATTCAAAAAGATGACTAAGCAGTATCTATTGTTTCCTTAATAAAAAACATAGTATCACCAATGCTGATCTCTCGGGTGCTCGTTTCCCCTACAAGTCTCTTAGGCCACTGCCAAAACACTTGGCTTTCCTATGACAACATCCAGAAAACATTGACCTCCTGCCACCAAAGAAAAATCCACGTAGGTAATGAAATGAAGCACAGAATTATTTTATATCATTGGAAAATAAATAAAACAAGGAAAGTTTGTCTCAATTAACCAGGGAGGGAGGAATGCTATATAATTACAGTCTGCCTGCTGCATAATGAGTTCTAACGTGTTGCTTATTACAGATCCCTCTTGCCAGTATCATGCGTTCAGTCCCTCCAGGGTCAGAATGCAAAAGTACATGTGCAAGTACACAGAGAGCCACAAACAACTCGAGAACAAAGAGTTGAAATAAGTACGACTGTCTCCCAAGACCTAAAATCTCAAGGTCAGAATCTCACCTCGGACTGCAAAGCATTCCAACGGAAGAGTGATAAAGACTTTCTGCAGTAAATAACGGTTTCATTTTCCATCTTGAAAGCAAGTTTAGCTTCCTCAGATTACACTAATATGCTCTCAGTTTCACAGAAGCAAGAAGTGTTCCAGAAGACACCATTAATAACATAAATAAGCATATTCTAAAGATATTCTATATCTGAATTAGCAACTTGCACTGTAGAAAGTTATCCACAACAGGAACAACTTGTGACACTTTCCTGGCATCTTAAGACTTACATTAGTACCTTTCGATTCTCCCTCTATGTTTAGAAAGGAAGGGTTTTACCAGAATATAATTACGATCGTAAACTTCAGCTGCAAGTTTAGGAAAGTCCACGGAAAATGCAAATAAAAAGAAACAAACCTTTCAGCTGCACTGGCAAAGCAAACAGGACATGTTGCAGTGCATCCAGCTTTTTCACACTTCCTGTATTTCTTCTCTGATGCTTCATCATCATCATCTGCTGCTTCAGCCGCTTTCTTCTTTACCTAACAAAGAATAGCTGAAAACTGACCAGAAATGGCACAAATGCATCTTCTACAAAATGGCATTCAGACAGTTTTGCAGCTTGTGGGTAGCATCAAATGGCTAAAATGGTAGTAATGAAAATTTTTGTATCCATTGTAAAATAGCTGCAGCATGAAACAGCTGTCAAAGTAGGTCATTTTTTCTACAAAAAAACCCCCACCAAACAGTAAGACTGGAAATATCATTTAAAACTAAAAATGTCTTGCTTTAGTATAATTGATGCCACTGAAGAAATTAGAAGCAAAGCTTCCAATGTAAAACATATTTTAAGCTCCATCACATGCTAATGAGTCAAGCCTCATGCATTCATTCTGTTTCTCCTTCAGAAAATTAAAATCTCTTCTTCACGTACTTATTGATATTAATTAGTGGCAACCTTATCCATGCCTCAAATAGATTAGGGTAGGCTTGGGGCTTTTTTTGGACTCCAGATACAAAGCTGTATTCCAAATGTCTCTTCTGTGCCTCAAAGGTGCTGTGTATTCTGTTGTTTTAGGCCTCTGTCTGGATGGGCAGACAGCTTGGGCTGGCTTTACAGAAATCTGTGGTTGTATTTTTAACACTTTAAGTATTTACAGGTTATATCGAGAATTTGTATTTTCTGAATATTGTTCACAAATGAGACGCTTGCCTACTTATTCACAGAATTAACCAATTTTCCCTCTCTCTGGATAAGTCCAGTTATCCACAATGAAGCCCACTTTCTTTATAACTGTCAACAGAAAATAAAAAATATCAGAGTATGAACCCATGTGTTTTTAAATTATTATAAATACCTGTCTTCCAGAACTCCTCAGAGGAAGGTTGTCTGGAGACTGGTCTGAAGAACATGCCTTTTTTTTCGTTCGTACCCTTCCAGTTGACATTGTATTATTAGATCTGCAAAAAAAAGGTAGGCAGTAGTTAAGAAAAAAAAATAAATTGCTTGACTTTGCAGCACTGTCTAATCACCTGGGCAGTACAACCACCCATAATACTGCTTTTGTCAGAGCTACCTAGGTAAGAGTCTGTTTAGCTTGACTATTAATTCAGGAGGAAAATGAGAATGAGGCATTATGGGAAAGGAACGATACTACTATTTTAAACTAAATTCGGAGTTAAGATTAGATCCTTGAGTACATCTTGACAGGCTGTTCCTGATCAGCATACCCTGGATTTCTATAATCTGATTTGCATTACGTGAAGACCTGGACTGGAATTTGGGTTGGCAAAGTGAAGAGACATCAGCTCATAATGCAGGCATTGAAATACCACTCTGAGAAACGCTCGTCCTGCTAACTACTGATTTATTGGTAGCAAGAGATTTGCACTGTAAAGCACTTTTCCAAACAGCGTACCGAAGAGCTGTTTAATACCAGGTGAACAACCAGTTCCAAGACCTGCACACCCTCCTATGAAAGTACATTGGAATTTAAAGTCTAAACTGCAGTTGCATTGCAATTATAGGTGAATGGAATATTACAAACTTTGTTATTAAGCATACTATAGGAGCAAAGGTTTACGCCACAAGAGAGCTCTATAGCTGTCTCTGACTACATCAGTGGGAACACAGAAAAGACCACAGTTTATCATGTAAGCTGGAAAGCACAGAGTGTGAGAAAGCATGCCACAGAAATATGAAAGCATATTTAAAATAGTATTATCAAAGGAATTCTTTTCACAGGGAGTAAAACACGAATAAATAGAGCCTAGAGGAAGAATTAAATCTAAATGTGCTCCACCACACACAGAAAGGAAGTGGAAATAAAACCCTTATACTACAGCACTGCATCATGAATGTTGTCTTGTTGCACTAGGGATCAGTTTGTAATTATATATTTCTTTAAATATATTTGAGACTTCTCAGTTCTCTCTGTTCCAGGCTGCATCTTCCTTGTTTAAGCTGACAGTGATGGACACGGCTGCAGTAGTTTTGTTCTGCTAAAAGTAAAGGTAACAGGAGGAGTGAATGGGCATTTTTACAAAGTTTCAAATGAAGCTGATGCAAATCAAGTAAATTGGTGCTTTATCCTCCTCTCAAGATAGAAGAAATGGATTTGGGAGGGGAAGGAAAATCACATGATGATATCCACCTACGTGAAAAATCAGTTCAGACAACCCAATACAAAAAAATAACTGTCTTTTTTGTATGCAACCCCCCCTCACCCCAGTTATAACTAGAGAGAGGAAAAAAAGAAGTAAGTCAATCTTTATTACCTAAAAAAAAAAAAAAAACATGACTCCACCATAACTTACCACTGTATGGGGGTGGATGAGGTTGGAGAGTAGAGAAAGAAAAAACAACCAGTTTCGTTTACATGAGATTTCCCTAAACTACTGTGTAACGCCCCAGGAAATGGTGGCTTTTTTTTTCCCCCCCCCCGGGAGCTTTCCTTCAGGATCAGTGGCACAACAATATCTCTTTCTGTCACCTTAGCTTCTGACGCGAGATAATCGTTCCTACGTGCTGCTGCCGCCTTTACAGTCGGAGGATGTGGACTACCTTAGCACCGAGCAAGGCGCCAGGCGGCTCATTTTGGTGACTACCAGGTGATCACAGCCTGCTGCCGCTGCCAGGCCCTTCATCCAAGAAGGTAAAAGGACACGCGGCTGTTCTATCTCGTATGCGGGGTTAGAAAAAGAAAAGGCGGCAGTTACCATTCACTAAGAAGGCTGGTAGAAATATTTAGGATTCAGAGAGGCCTCCCATTTCGAAAGGCAGAGGTCGGTCGTACAGAATCACAAACATATTTTTGCTGTAAGCACTACGGGAGGGGGAAGAGGGAGGTGGGGAGAAAGAGAAAGAGATCGGCTTATGCATAAAACTGCAAGCAAGGCCATTGCTTCCAGTTGGATGCCACTTTGTCCCCACTTCCCCTCCCAAAACAAACACCACTCCCCACTCCCCCAAACCCCACAAATTTTTAAAGAACAAGCAAACATCGCTTACTTTACTAAGCTTTACATGACTCTGCATCCTAGAAACCTCATCTTATTGGCTGAGAAAATAAGCCCTTTAAAAGGAGAGAGAGAGAGAGAGAGGTGCGTAATACGCTGTCACATTCTATAACATTTCATCCGTCGATAACGCGTGCGGCCTATATGGGAAAGCTTTGTGGGGTTTACCTGGACAGTTGACAGCAAGTTTGTCTTTGGGGGGAAAAAAAAAAAAATGAAATAAATAATAATAATAAAAAAAGAAACCAGCACACACACGCTGACAGAGAAGGAGGAAACAGAGAGCAGCCGGATAAAGAAGGGGAGATGGGACCTGGGGGGTGCGCACACACCTCCACAACTCAGCCCCAGCCGGCCGAGGCTGAGAGCCGCCCCCCCACACCCCCGGTCTCATCCGTCCCCGTCCCGTCCACCATGACGATTTTTTTTTTTCTGAAGATACTAATAAAAATATGATTTCTTGGTGGAAAAACTATTTTGTTGTGTGAAAAGTGTCACCCATAGAGGGGAATCAGGTGAGGCAAGATGTT